TATTCTGGGTTTTGTTTTGAGCCAGAACTTTTAATGAAGTGCAATACTGGGTGTGCCTCCTATTTTGCAGCTGTTTCATCTATGGAATGTATGTCAAATAAAAACCACTGTACATTTTTATACAGTCGTAACCCCCCCCCCCCGCCCCCCCCCCCCCCCCAGTCCTCGCCCTCCCTCTTCTTGGTGTCGGTTCTCTTTGATTACTGTCTGGAAAAGAGAGTCTGGCACTTGCAGTGAAAGATGGTGGATGTAAATGTTGTTTTCAGCTCAGATAAATAAAAAAAAGTGTCAAAATCCTACATAAATACAAGAATAAAAAAAAAAAGTCTTGATAGGAGTGGTTACAGCTGAAGGATTCAAGGGTCCAGTCTTTACACCAAATACAATTGTGCACCTGTATGCGTTTTCCTAGTATGTGGCAAAGAGATTTGGGGGTCAAAGAAGCAGAGTGTGGGGGATAAAAAAAGAATAAAAAAGAAAAATAAGAAGCAGCTGCTGTTAAATAAGAAGCTTATTACTTGTGAATCTGCTCTGTAATATCTGTGGTGGATGGAGTTGAATGGTAATAAACCAGATTCTCTGTTTCACAAATTATACAATGTGTCGTTAGTTTTTCATTAGTAAGCCAAAATACGATTTCTGCTGGACATTAAATATGCAATCCAGTGGTCCATTTCCTTCTTTCACCAACATCTGCACTCACAATAAAAAATAAAAAACACAAGTGGAAAGTAAAGTATGGATTTTCACAGCAAAATGTGTAGGTAGCTTTTTGAAACTTTGGAATTTCATTACATTCTTCCCTGTTTTGAAGAAAAAGGAACATTGTTACTTTTTTTTATTATTTTGCAAAATGTTACTGGAATTCATTCAGTATTTTTAAATACAACTCAAATGTATTTGCAGAAGCCATACAGAATGTGCAGATAAAGTAAATTAAATGCAAACAGAAGAACTCAAACATGAGCGAAAGATGCATCACTCTGGGAGCATTTTTAGTACTCTACGTGGTTTACTGTTTTTTTTTTTTTTAATTCGCTTAAACTATGTTCATAACTATGGTGCAGTTTATCACTTGACACAAAAAACGACGAGATGTTATTTGGAGATTTAAGGTCATAATTGTGGAATTTAAAATGGTTATTTAGACTTTCTAAGTGACAATCTCATTTTAACTATTAACTGATTATTGCGACATTGAGAGCTACAATTAGAACAAAATCTCTCAACAGATACTGAATTACACAATTATGACCTTGACGGTCAAAGTTGTTTGAATTTCATTCTGATATTCAAATTAGTGAGTTTTGATCTCAGAATCAAAATCACTGTATGCCTTTGAATCTATGATCATTTATGATGTTTGATTCCATGAATATTAATTTGCCCGTCAAAATAACGTTTTACAATCAAAATTTACTTTCAAACTCGTGTTTCTCAACATTGTGATTGAAAGTCAAAATGACTGTTTTTCATAGATATGACTTAATATGATGTTTTTCTAGTTAAAAATGACTAACAGGGAGGCTGTAATTTACCTGAAAGAGAATTTGTCTAATAATAACAAAGGGTCGCACTGTTTTGATTCTCGCTTATTTATGTATCTGTAGGCGAGTGTTTTGTGGAGAGAAAGTAGGTTTTTGCAGAGTGAGTAATCTCGCGAGTATGCACGATCTTCACCAACAGCCATTTCGCATTACGTTTCCCGTGGAGCACCGCCGCTGTCAAAACACTTCGCCATTTCAGGGTTAGGAGGGGGAATTAGGTCAGTCGAGCGGAGGTGGCCGTTTCTTATTTTCTGTCGTCAGTGTGCTCTGTAATTGGGTTCCGATGCGAGTTATCTGGCTGTTGCGGATGAGTTTTTCCTTCGTGGGCCCGGGTTGAAGAGTGAAGTCAACTTTCGGATTTTCCTTCGTCCAGCTACTGAGCTAGCGGTGTGTGTAAACAACAAGGTAGGATGATGCTCGGCTGAGCTGGAGCTTAACGACTAAATATCTCCTTATCGACAAAAGTGTTATTCGCGACGCGTACAGTGCGTTACAGGAAGGTGCGTGTAGCTATCTTTTAGTGAAAAACTGTTGGAGTGAATTTAAAACAAGCTAATGTAAAGTTAGCTAACAGTTACATTCATTGACGCTGTTGCGAGTTACAGGAAAACGCTTTAGACAATTTTACATGACAAGTTTTGTCTTCGTGTGATACAAATTCAAACCTAAAGCTAGCGTTTTTCATGTGTTATCTGCAGTGTCATATTTATAATCTTTGTCACGTTTCTCACGTTTTCGGGAGAAAACGTGACATCACATTGTCATGGTCACGTTGTGGCAGTCAGAAAAATGCTAGCATCTTCCCTCTGTTTATCATTGGGGTATGCCATTAGCATCACATAGGGAAGAGCCTTCCACGTAATGCATGGCAGGCACCTATTGTTCTACACCTAATAGAACGTTTCTTTATTTATTTTTATTCCGTCACCGTTAATGCGGCTCGTACTGCTGCGTGCACCCCCACAAAAGTGGTATCAAAACGTGCGCCTCGATCTCGAGAAGGGAGCTATTACTTTTACTGGGATTCGGAGTTACCATGGCGACGTAATTTGCGAAAAATGAGGCCCAAAAATCCCATTAAAGTCAATGGAGCGAGGGGAAAAAAAACAACCTTAAGAAACACTATTTTTGAGGAATTTCTGTTTTGTTATAAATTGACGTAGAAATGCCATTCAAATTTCAGTTTGTAGATACGTCCGTGATCTCTTCTAAAGTGAAGACGGTACGTCAATACCAATTACGGTTTGTCCACAACTTGTCTCCAAGCGACCCAAAGTTTTCGATTTTTCATAAAAATTGGAGTGTAACTGAAACCAACTGCCGCTCCGCTAGAGTGAGAAAAAACCCAAAATAACTTTTAAATCGCCGCCACGCCTACAGGTATCGCTCTATCGGTATCAAAGTCAGTCATGACATTGATACGCATGCCTGCTCCTGTAAAATGTTTTCGATATTTCCCTAGGGCTTGCTTTTTTCTTTCAAGGGGCTTTAGAGCAAAGTCATGGGACAGGGTAATCTGACGCCCTCATCAAGTGTTTTCCATACATTTCTGAAAAATTTCAGAGCTCAGCGCACACCATTTTTCTCTCATAGCTGTTATTACTGTGAGTGAGGTAGAGATGTGAATCGTGGGACTGTCGGAGACGACAAATAGCCCCTCTCATACGCTTCAAACGGTTTTCGAATACGTATCACGCTTCCTGAACGGGAAGGAGTTGTTCGGACAGCTTTTTGGAATGAAACTGGCTGGATCAAACAGATGGAATTATGTCTCCCCCTGCGTGTCTTTCTCACAGCTGACAGTTGGCAGAGAGGATTAATTACCATAGCAACAGAACACAGGCCACAGCTGCTGATTTGGACTACAAACACATGGCCATCTCTGTAGTTCTAACTATGGCGAACACCGAGTTAAAACGGTTTTTGGATCGGCCTTACGATCCTGAACGGGAAGCAGTTGTTCGGACTGCTTTTTTTCATCAAAACTGACTGGTTGTCTCATAAAGATAGAAATCCTTCTCCACCTCTGTCTCACACACACATGACAGTTAGCAGAGGCTTAATCACTATAGCAACATAATACAGAGAAAGGCAGAGCTGCTGGTTTGGACTACAAAAACTCGGTCTCTGTAGTTCTAAACATGGCGGAACACTTTAATACAAAGGGCAGAGCAGAATGTCAGAACATGGTGGAACACTCAATTATTACAGAGGAGGGCTGAGCTGGCAGTTAGAACTACTTGCTGTTTTAGACATTATACAGCTGGATTAACCAAACCACTGTTACACATTGGATTAGTGTGGCCATTTAAAATTAAGCTTACTGAAAATTTTAAAATAAAAGTCTTGACATCAGGTAATTGCTCTTTTGGGCTTTATGTGACTGGTTTAAACAAACCACTAATGCTAATGCAGCAAGGCAGTGCATTAGCATTAGCCTTTTCCCTAAAGTTAGCTATTAGCTAATTTTCTTGCTTATTAGCGATGTTTAGTATACTGAATGGAGCAAGTAAAATTAAAACATGGTTGTGTTGCTCCACATGCTACTGCCAGCATTTAGGCTAACTTTAGCATTTTGGCTAATTTTAGCTGATGCATTGATTTTAACATCATGAATGGTATAAGTACAGCTTAATAAACATGCTTCTGCCTCTCCACAGGTTGACTACAATTTAGCTAAGCTTAGCATTGATGATTATTTTTAGCACCAGAACGCTGGTTTCCAACCGATGGGCACACTTTGGCATGTCCCGGTTAAATTTCTTCAAGAATTTTCTAGTTCGGGTTTATTATGTTCCGGAGAATGTTAATCTACAAACCGGTGACTGATTTTAGCTGAGTTAAATTGCTCTAATCGATATGTGTCGAAAATGTAAACAAAGTTTGATTTATTGCTGCCGAATACAAAATTAGAAAGGAGCCAAAGAAAACATATGACTTTTTAAACTAACACAAAATCTATTCTCAGCAGATGATTTGATGACTGGTTGAGGGCGTTACAGCTTAATATTAAAGGATCATCCACCAAACTCTTAGACTAATAAAGAAAAGAAAAACAATCCTGTTCCAAAACTGATGACTCATGAAATTTATTGCAAACGCAAATAAAACAGTGGTTTAGTCATTATAAGGACACTGGTATTAGGTTGGTGCTTTACACGTATGAAGCCTGAGAAAGAAAAAAGCTTAATAAGTTGACTTGAAAAGAATATAATAAAAAGTTTAAGGGAATCTATATTGAAAAACGGCAAATTTTCAGTGACAGTAAAACTCAAATTTGTTGTGAGGATAACTTAGACAGTTTCTTAGAGCCAGAAAAAAATCTTTAAAAAAAAAATTAAGAGAACTCTAATCACCCAGTAATACTGTTTTATTACTGGGTCATTACTTATTACTTTATTACTTATTGTCAGCATCCAGAAATGTCAAACATCTACCATTAAGCAAATAACCTCCTGCCGCTCCTATATATTCTTTTTTTTTTTTCTGAGGGAAAATTTCAGAGCTTATACAGTGGACTTAAACGGCACATGTTTATGTTTCAGGATGAAACGGATCAAAGGAGGAGAGGAAGCAAGCAGCGGTGAAAGCCCGCCAGAGGCCTGCAAAAAGCTCCGTACGGAGACGAGCGAGGAGTCGGAGGCCGTGGCAGCCGGTGAGTCTCCGCTGTGCGACTGGTCACTGCTGCCTCAGGAAATCCTGCTGCACATCTTCCAGTACCTCCCGCTGCTGGACCGGGCCTACGCCTCGCAGGTGTGCCGTTGCTGGAACGAAGCCTTCCACATGCCCGAGCTGTGGAGATGCTTCGAGTTCGAGCTCAATCAGCCAGCGAGCTCATACCTGAAAGCCACGCACCCGGACCTCATCAAGCAGATCATCAAGAGGCACTCCAACCACCTCCAGTACGTCAGCTTCAAGGTAAAAATCCAATCCCGGCTCAGGCCATCTGGTTTTATTGCTCCTGCTAAATGTTGACGTAAAAAAAAAAAAAATGTAGTTTTTGTCCTCCTGAAATGATAGTCAGTCTTTGTTTGTTCTCATCAGGTGGACAGTAGCACAGAGTCTGCAGAGGCAGCATGTGACATTCTGTCACAGCTGGTGAATTGCTCCCTCAAGACCTTGGGGCTCATCTCTACCGCTAGGCCCAGTTTCATGGAGGTTCCAAAGGTACAATCAACACTTAACAAGAATTTCCTATCCCCGTATTAGCCAAGGAAAAGATTAAGCTTTCGGCCAATTTATCTTGAACCGTTGACCCATTTAATTCTCTTACTCACTTGCTGACAAGATAGTGTTTTCAGTCTTCCCACCCACAGATAAGATTAGAAAGTAGCGTCTGTGTCACACATAAACAAGGTCAGCATTTTGTTATTTGGCCTCAATAAGAGAACATGATGTTATTTAGTAAACCACTATTTAGTTCTCCTCTGTGCAGAGAGTGATCTCTTTCTGAACCCTCGAACAATCCCTTAATGCTGACTGAATGGACACAAAGAAATTCACATTTTTTTAATTAATTTATTTTATTTTTAAATAAAATATGAACTTCACCCTTTTGTAAGGTCTAAGTCAATGTTAAATTAGATTTTTTTTATTTGAGTCATTGTCTTCTATACATTTTTAACTTGGAGTTTTGTTTTTCTTTTTGATTTTGTTATTGTTTTTCAATGTTACCTTTTGATTAATCTGTTTTCTACTTTTTGACACAGCTTTGCCATTGACCTGTTTTTTTTTTCTGTGCTGCACTGGAATTGATCTGTAAAACTTTTACTGATGTTGGCTGTGAAACACTTTCACCGGCACAGTCGTGTTTCTAAAGTCAGATTGTGTCACTTTTTCCTGTCGTCATGAGTAGCTATTAACGTTCACGCTGTAATCTGTGCTCTTTGCGTAGCGTATGAAAACGAATCCAGCTGCTTCAGCAGTAATGGAGCCTCATCTGTGTTTCTTCTTTAGAGCTGAATTATTGAAATCTGAAGTTAAGAAAAAGCTGACTACATTAAGTTTGAGGGAAAAATCCAGAGGACTGACGGCGTTTTTACTTCCTCAGTCTCACTTCATCTCGGCGCTGACGGTGGTGTTCGTCAACTCCAAGTCGCTGTCGTCGCTGAAGATCGACGACACGCCGGTGGACGATCCGTCGCTGAAGGTGTTGGTGGCCAACAACAGTGACACGCTGAAGCTGCTGAAGATGAGCAGCTGCCCCCATGTGTCCCCTGCAGGTACTTTCTCATTAAGAGATATTGTTGTTGTTTTTTTTATGTTCACATCACAGCCACTAACTTCCAGGTATTTTATTGGGATTGTATGCGAGAGAAAAGCACAAACTAGTGTAGTGTAGAGTTGAAACGTGTTAAGGAAATGATTAGAGTTTTCTGATTTTGTTTTACAAATAAAAATCTGAAAATTGGAGCTTTCTTTCTGGTTCCTTTATCTAGTGCAACCAGTTTCCTCTCGAGTCACCTGGTTAGTAAACAGAGACTACCGTCGTATAATTTATTCCCATCGTAAATACGGCTGGAATGCGAAGGGCCTCAAAGAAACTGTGAGTAAACTTTATAGAGGACTGGCACGCCTGTTAGTCACACATTCCACAAATCTGGCCTTTATTAAAAAAGTGGCATTGCAAGAAGAAAGCCATAATAAGTCCAGTTAGCAAACAGGTAGGTCAGGGACTTGGCAAACATGTGGAAACGGAAACACAGTTAAACTTTATTTGCCAGTTTTCTTTGCTGAAATTAAACCCAACACTGAAAATCCTCCCAGAAACATCCTCCCTGTGGTGAATCATGGCGTTGGCTTCGTTATGCTTTCATGATGGTCTTTCTACAGTTGGGAAAAGGGATGGTGCTAATTATAGGGCAGCGGTGGGAGGAGGCAAATCTTCCGTCCGGACAACAACCCAAAACACAGAGAGCTCCAGTGCCAGGGCTTTGGATCAAAGTGTAGTTATGAGTTAGAGCGGTCCAGTCAAAGTCCAGACGGAAGACCTACTGATAAGTCTGCGGGGAGTCTTTAAATGTTTGATGTTAACAGAAAGTCTTGAGCCACTCTGACAGAGCTGGAGCTGTTTTACAACCAAAAAATGGGTAAAAATCTTATTTCAAAAAAGTATTGAATCAATGATATTGAAACAAATGATATTTGTATTTGTGAAAAAAACAACAACATAAAATTAGTCTGAAGCATAAAATCCCAATGAAAAAAACAAAAAAAACATTGAAGTTTGCGGTTGTAACGTGACAGAAACATTTAAATGTACCCGACCTTTGAAGCTTTGAGTAAGCGGCGTTCTAATGATTTTGGCTCGTTTCGTATTTTGTATGTGGGTGTTCATTATTCCCAACAATTTAACTTCCAATCAGGCCTTAAACGTCCATCGGCCATATTTGTCGTTTTTATTCACAATGCTGCTTTTCATTTGGTGTTTTTGAAGCTGCACTTTTCTTCCCTTAATGCGACTTCATACTGTGTAGCGGTAATTATGAAGGGACCCGTTCTGTGGTTTCTTGCTGTGACATACATTTTCCTGGAAGGGTTTTCGATGCTCTGTTGATTCAACCCACAGCTTTCCTGCCAAACACAATGAGCCGTTTTGTTCTTGACGCAAAATTAAAAACCGGGCCAGAACAATCGGCGGGATTAAAAATAAAAGAATCCCCTGTCTGTGCTTGCAGGGATCCTGTGTGTGGCGGACCAGTGTCACGGGCTGAGAGAGCTGGCGCTCAACTACCACCTCCTCAGCGACGAGCTCCTGCTGGCGCTCTCTTCGGAGAAGCACGTCCACCTGGAGCACCTGCGCATCGACGTGGTGAGCGAGAACCCGGGCCAGCACTTCCACACCATCAAGAAGAGCAGCTGGGACGCCATGGTGCGCCATTCGCCCAAGTTCAACCTGGTCATGTACTTCTTCCTCTACGAGGACGAGTTCGGCCCCTTCTTCAACGACGAGATCCCCATCACGCACCTCTACTTCGGCCGCTCCGTCAGCAAGGAGGTCCTGGGCCGTGTGGGCCTCCACTGCCCCCGCCTGGTGGAGCTGGTCGTGTGCGCCAACGGGCTGCGGCCGCTCGACGAGGAGCTGATCCGCATCGCCAAGCACTGCACGCAGCTGTCCGCCATCGGCCTGGGGGAGTGCGAGGTGTCCTGCAGCGCGTTCGTGGAGTTTGTGAAAATGTGCGGCAGGAGGCTGTCCCAGCTGTCCATCATGGAGGAGGTGCTGATCCCGGATCACAAGTACTCGCTGGACGAGATTCACTGGGAGGTGTCCAAACATCTGGGCCGGGTCTGGTTCCCGGACATGATGCCGACTTGGTAGGGGGGCCGCTTTGACCTGAAAAGCCGCTCCGCTGTAGTGAACTGCCAGGTGCCAACTTGACGAGCAAAACTTCTCTGAGCGTCTGGAGTAAAAAAAAAAAAAACTAAAAAAAACGGGGATGTCATGTGATTCCGTCTGAGAGCCTGAAATCAACTCTGGAGTGAAACTCAGAGCGGCCGGAAGAGCAGCGACAACAAGCCGAGTTAAATGGACTAGGGCTGAAACGATTAATCGTGATTAATCGTTTATTGAAATAATTGTCCTCTGATATAGTGATCGATTAACTATAGTACACAGGTTCTGAAAAAGGTCAACATATTCAGAGTGGTTAATTAAGCCAAATATTTTGCATTTAAAATAATAAAAAAAAAAATAATTCTGTAAATATGTTTTAGCCAAAACTCCTCAAGTGGTATATAGTTTTAGCTTCATTCAGTTCAGATTTACAAAAGGAATGCTACGGTATCGTATTTTAGGCAATAAAATGTTTATTTTCTTAATTAAAAATTAATTTAATTATTTGTCTATTTGCATCTTGTAATGTATTTCTAATATTGTATTAAAAAAAAAAAAAACACATTAGGGGTTAAATGATAAATCAGCAGCATGTGCGTATTTTTTATCCGATTAATCGATTACAAAAACAGTCGTTAGCTGCAGTCCTGATGTGGACATTTTTCCACTTTGTGCATCAGGAAAGATGTCGGTCCGTGTGCGTCTGCAAGCACAGGCTCAGGTGTGTTTTAACACGTCAAACGTTTTGCAGGAAATCCGGTTAGTTGCATCGCTGCATGTCGTTACACTACCGCTCGGCCTACATACTACGCTCTGTTTAGACGCCCTGCACTCTGAAAACAAAACAGCATTTGAGGTTTCTGAATTACTGGAAATGCAAAGAAAGCAACAGATGGGGATTTTTGTTCTTTCAGACGATGCCGAAGGAGTTTTTTAACGCTTTTAACAGAAACAGGGGGAGCTTTTTTTTTTTTTTTGCACTTCATGAATCACAAAACGTCTCTTTGCAGATGTCCGACGTTGGCAGAGTGCAGCGTGTAAATAACGGTAGATATTTGTGATGTGAAGGTGTACAGTGTTCAGTAACGTACCTGAATTGTATTTCTTTTTGTGCATCACACACTTTGTATATTTGAGACACTATTTTTTTTCTTGCGTTGGTGAAAGAAGGTTTTTTTTGTACAGTGAGAGATTTTTTTTTTTCTACGCACCTTACATGGAAACCAAATGACAGCTGGGCCGAACCGAGTCTTCGCGGCCAAATAATGCATTTTTGTATCGATCCGAAGCTCTGATCAATCAGCGCCCAGAGACAGCATAATAAAATAATAAGGCTGTAACGAAAGAAGAGAAGCAATCAATTTACAGTGCCTTGCGAAAGAAGCGCGTACCCCTTGAGCTTTTCCACATTTTGTCACATTAAGTTTTGTTGAGACAGAACAACACAAAGTAACGTTTAAATTCGCAGGTTAAAATATACAAGCTTCTTTGTTTTAAAACTCAGAAATCTGAACAGTGTGGCGCGCATTTGTATCCCGCCTCCCTGAGTCGATATTTAAAAACCGCACCTGCATTGCACAAAGGTGGATTCTGTTTAGTAATCAGGTGACGTGTAAAGGTTATTGGTTTTATTTAGGGGCGTTGGAGTAACAGTAGAAGCAGACGCCACACATCTCGGATTTTTATTTGCAAAAGATGATGCTTACAGTCTTGACAGTGTGAAAAGGCCGAAGTTGTACGAATGCTTTTACAAGCCACCGCATTGTGTAAGTCCCGATTGCGTCCAGAAGTGTCGGTGCACGTTGGTGTGCCTCCACTCTTTCCGCTCAATTTGCTTTGGAATCAGCAATATAATAGTCTGCAGCTGTTGGTGCTAAATGCACATTGGGAACGCAGAGCTCAACCCTTTTTTTTTTTTTTTTTGTCTCTCAGGTTTCAGTTTTTATCTTCTGCAATTTGCCCGGTAAAGCTCTACATCCTGTCAGTCTTGTATACCAGTCACCCTCCTATTACTAATGTTTTCTTTTAATAGCATCAAACAGGAGCAGCAGAATTATTCTTTGCAAATACGTCTGCTGCCGTCTCACGCGTTCATCCTCTACAGTCAGAAGAGACGTGGCAAGTCAGATGAGTGTGAAACGTATATTTTTTTTTTCCTTTAAGAAGGAAGTCAAATTCACTTGTATATAAAACGCTGTGTGTTTGATTATTTTGAATAGAAATGTAACCATTTCTTTATTTCACCCTGTCGGGGTTCAACGTTTGCTCAACCAGCAGCTCTTTGTCTTTTGTAATACCGCAGTCTGAATTAAGCTGAAGTAGTTGCCTTTTTTTTTTATTTTTATTTTTTTCGGATGCTAGACCCTCGAGAAGTTACGCTTTGTTGTTAATTATTACGCTGAACTTAATTTGTGAGTTGGTATTGAATGCAGATCAGCAACAAGACCATTGTTTATGTTTTGTATTTCTGGTCGTCGTCATCGTGGTATTGCTGCAGACAGGTGGTCCTCAAGTTCACGATGACTGTTTTTACAATACTTAAGTCTTTAAAAAAATGTAAGGAATTGAGTGATGGTCTCTCTCTTCTGCTGTGGTCACTTGATCTTGTTAATATGATTTTTTTCTTTTAAACAAAACAAAACAAAAAAAAAAGGAAATCCACTATATTGCCAAAAGTATTTGTTTACTCCTCCAAACTCGGCACCTGTTTATTTTTGCACCAGATTCATAAACCACTGGATGAGTGGTGATATTTGGTGCGGAACAGACAAAATCCCGATTTCAGCCTGATTGTCAAATTTACATGTCCAACATCAGTGTCTGACCTCACAAATGTGCTTCTGGAAGAGTGTTGGTGCCTCTATAGGATTTCTCTTCTTCTTGACCTGGAAAGCGTTCCTAGAAGAGTTGAAGCTGTTGCTTTCAAAAGTCGTCTTGCATCATATTAAACCCTGAGAATTTGATCTTGTGTGAGTGAGGGGACACAAACGAATGCTTTTGGCAACACGTAGACTAAAATGGAGACATTTCAAGTCATTATTAGACTCTTTTGGTATCAAGTCTCACCGAACTGGGTAGCTGTGCCGTCTGTGTTCATGTCATCGATACGGTAACATATCACCCGATTATTTTTTTTGGATTTAGTGCTGTGATTTCGCTTCAGTTAAAGAAACCAGCGCATTCGATTTTTACCGTCGCCTTCATCTGAATATTCAGCTGAACGGGTGACTCTTTTCGAGGGAAAATTATTGATCTTGCATTTTTAAGTACCGACCGTCAGAAAGTGTTTTGATCTCTGTTTTGTTTAGAGAGTACTCTAAAGTTTAGGAAAACTAAACTGTTGTTAATGCTGTTTTTTTAATGTTTATTATTATTAATATTGTGGCAAGTGATTATGGAAAAAAAATACTTTGCCTACTTTGCTTTACTGGTCACTTGTCTTTAATTTAAAGGTATTATTTGGGACTTGTGATCTTCAGAAATAAACAATTGTGAATGTACTTGTTGCACCTTGTATCTGTTCACCTGCTTCACTGCTGCACTGAACAAACCTTACAAAAATATTTAGACATTTCCAACAGTGACTTTAACCAAAGGCAAAATACTAATCACTTGTGAATTTATTATTCATACACTAAAATATTTTATTTTGTCATTTTACCATATGTCAGAATAACTTATTTCCACTTCATGTTATGGATTGATGCAAAATCAAATCATAGGTGTGAATTGGGCAAAAATAGCAGACCGCCCATCTGATGACCTCATCCGATACGGACTTCCTCTTTTGCTGTTGCACAGCGTCACATTGCATAGCCAAAAGGGCCGCTGGACAAAGAGTGCAAGTTGTCAGCCACAGTTGTAAACATTTTTTTATGAATCAGTTTAAAAAGTCAGTAAGGCATCTTTTCACAGACTGTAGAAAAAAAAAAAAGTCTTTGTACTCAGTGTGCTGATAGTGTGATGAAATAAATCTTCAGAGACCAACTGTGGTCTCCAAAGGAAATGATTCAGCTAAGCAATAATTTTAAAGCAGAAGTCACAACAGGCAGGATTGAAAGACTTCCGTTATGCCGTTACGTCAAGTTAACTCACTGACTCAATCTAATGCCCTCCACCATCACTGCCATCCCTAGAAAATATGTGCAACACACCCAAAACCCTAGTGAGTAGAATGAAGCCACAGAAAAAGAAAAAGTTCAACCTTTAATTTTGGTTCATTTACATCAAAGACGAAAGTCAGTTAAATATCCGAACATCTGAAAGATATTTATTGGTATTAGATCAATGCTTAACTGCAGTCCCTGTAGAAAATGTTCCTCTTTCTCATTTTGAGACACAACACAGAGGAAAAGGAGCTTCTGAGTCGTTTCATATTTTGTATCTGAATTATAAATTAAAACTTTCTAGACAATTTGATCAACATAAAGTTATTTAGAAAAACAAATATGTGAAAGTGTTATGGATGCCGATAGCAATGATGCTATTTGCAGAAGATACTTGCAAATGTTGGTTGGAATAAGTCTTTGAAGTAGATTTCTTTTAACGACTTCAGCACATTTTTTTATCAGGTATGCCTGGTACATCAGATGTAAATCAGGTCATTTTCATTTAAATCAGATCTTTTAACATTTTTTTTATCTGTCTGCTATATTTATCTGCATAAATATAGCAGACCAGTTAGATCAGGTTTTGTTTAAACAATGTCTCCACCTAGTGGTCAGATAAGAATCATCCACCCACAACAAACATTTTAAAAGGTGAAATCAGACCAGTGTGCTTCCTGCAGAGAAGGGAAATTGTTAATGTGTTAAAACAAAACAACCAACTCAGCATGAAGGTTAGCAAGTGCTGGCAGGACTAGTCATGAATTTTAAACTTAAAAAACCAGAAATAAAAACAATTTCATGTGTACAGGCTGGTTGTTAAGGCAACGGCACCTCTTCATACGTAATCTGCACGTATGGATGTTTCATTGGCAGGTGCCAGTACTCAAAGTTGTAGTACAGGTAGAAGCTCTTGTCCAGCACAACCTCCTTGTAAGCCTCCAGCAGGCTGAAAACGAGGTCGAAGATTGACTGATGCGGCCTGAACGTGTGGTAGAACTGGCGGATGTCCATCGCGAGGTTTTTCAGCGCCGGCTGCCCAAATATGGCGCTGTCGTTGCCCAGGTAGCTGGGCTCTCCGCTGTACAGATAGATCTTGGTGTAGTTGGTCTGCGAGCGGCTGGACAGCTTGGCTCCCAGCTCGGTCAGCTTCCTGTACGTGCGATGGACGAACTGGGAGCAGTCGTACGACTCGAACCACACCGTTGCGTTCGGACCGGGGTCAGAGCGAACGGTCCACGTCTCGTAGTAGATCCCGGTCTCGTTGTCGTCCTGCACCCACCGGGCCATCGCGTTGAACTGACTCCCTGCAGGACAAAAAGTAGGTTTTAGGAAAAGTAAGTGCTGATAATAGCACTTACCTGTACACTCTATTATGTTCATCGACATTACAGCGATGTGAAAGACTGCGTATCGCTGTAGAGATTTCTTCTGCTTTTACGTCGTTTTACTGTAGATTATCAACCAAATTTTAATATCAGACAAAGATAACTTGAGTAAATGCAAAACTCTGTTCTCAGAAAAGGCGTTTAAAATCTACATGTGAATATATACATGCCCCACATAAATTAATTTTTGGTGATTTACCACATTTTCTATTCAACTCTTCTAACACGAAGTAGACTAACGGGTGTCAAACAGCAGTGTATCATACCCTGATCTAAAAGGAATTTGAAAACAAATCATAAACAAAGTCATTGACATCTCTGATTTCTAAGCATTTGGTGCTAAAGTGAAACATTAACCACCAATATAACACAGTTTTGCTCAAGTTTTATTTGATACGACATACAATTTGATACTCGTTTGACACGTTTACGATCGATCGAAAAGCAAAACCAGAGATCTGTCTGTAACCTATTTGTTTTTTTCTAAGAACTGCATTTATTCCTGGGCGATGGGAGGTGCAGCTGCAGCCTCGGGACAGTCACAAACGCAGATTGCCAACAGGTGTTTCCACTAACAAAGTCGGAAAATATCACCTGTTACTTCTCCTATTTTCTCCAGGGTCCCGTTCTGCGACCAGTGCAGGTCATCGATGCCTTCGAAGAAGCAGGCAGCTCCCTGGTTGCACCAGAAGGGGGCGAACATCTCCGGCCGGAGGTGAGGGAACGTGCAGTTGCCCAGCTGGAAAAGCTCGTACCACTCCATGGTGTAGTTGGCTCCGGTCTCCAGGCTGCTGAAGCCGATGGCATCGTGCATGATGTGCTGCAAAACAAAAAACATGGGAACTCTTGCTTGAGAAGACAAGTCGGGGGGGAGGGGGAGAACTGTGCAGCTGCATTTCTATTAATACTGTCAAACACAGCTGCACCTCAGCTTCCACAATGCTGCTATTTCGGATTATTTCGAAAGCACGTGAGTGAAATACAGAGTTCTTTCGTACCAATTCAGACGTTACATCAACTGAAGCTGCAGAGAGAAATATCTGAAATAGAAACATCAAAAAGACTGATGCACTTACAAACTTCCCCAGTACATCTCCGTATTTGAACTCCCACACAGGCGTCTGCAGCCGGTAGACAGAGACGACGTCGCTGTCTCGTATGGAGGGAAAGCGTCCATCGCGGTCTCCGCTGGGGCAGAACGGGTAGAGAGCTTCGCAGAACGAGTCCGCAGGGGGTCGCTGGTCAAAGCGCCTGATGAGAACAGAAGGAATGAGGGACGGGGAGTCAAAATCACGTCACTTTGGAACCATTCAACAGCGACCTAAATAAAGCTGTTACCAAAAGCTACCAAAATAATAAGCAAACTTCAAATGAAATTATATTTTTTTACACACTTTCAGGGGCCAACAATGTCACAATTTTAGATCTCCTTCTGTAATTTATCTCGAAATTTATAAATAAAGAAAAAGTCAGCTCTAAATTAACAATTCTAATTTTTTGCTAGCTTGTTGTGCTTTGACACAATAAGACCACAAAATTAGATTTGTAGAATTGGTATTTTTGTGTGATAAACCAAAACAAAGTGGAATAAAGAGGAAAAATATACAAATATTTCAGCTTCTTAAACTATTAAAAATCTTTCACTTTGTGAAACCTCCTTTCATTAAAGTCTTTTTGGGTTATGTCTCTAAAAGGTTTGCACATCTAGAGATGAAAGTTTTTGCTAATTCTCTTTTGGAAATTAACCCAAGTTCTCTCAGACTGGATGGAGAACATGCATTTTTAAGTTGTAGGAGGTATGGACTTTGACTAGGTCATAATAGCACATGACCTAAACCTTCCCACTATGCTCTAGGTGTCTGTTTAAGTGTTGCCGTCCTGGGAAATGACCTCTGCTCCAATTGTGTATTGGGGAGTAAACTTTTTTTTTTTTTTTTTTTTTTTTAACTCAAGAAAAAAAAATTTTACTAATAAAAAATTTTTCTATTTATAT